GCAACCAGATGATCCTTCATGTGTCAGACGGAGTGACTTGGTCCAGAGTTACAACCACCTCTCATGGGTGATTGGGCATTGGAATGTTGTGTGGATTTGAGAGTATCTATCTGCTCTGAGAGAGTATCATCATGGAGCAGGCAGCCCATACAATAAAGTTAACTTAAACCCAGGTGATATTGTTCTGGTGAACAGTGAAGAACCATGATCAGAGTGACCTATAAGTAAAATGATCTCTGTGCATCCGGACCACCAAAGAGTTTTAAGAATAGTGAGGGTAAAGTGTCAAGGCATAGCCACTTTTAAGACCCTAGAAAAATTGGTTCTTCTGGAATTAGCAGGACATGAGGTCACTCTAATTACAAATATGCCTGATAATCCAGAAAGGAACGTTCTTCTAGAAGTAAATACTCGTTCGGAATGGACTGCTGCATGAGAGTGCAAAATCAAACTTAAGCAATACTATAACTATGAATAAAACTAGAGATTTCGATCATCATTTAAACTCATGGGTCTTGAGTGGCATACCAATGAACAGTAGTCTAACCAACTACAAGCCACAGTGACCAAGGTCACTGATACAACTGTGATCTCAGAGTCGACTTTGATTTTAATAATTAAACATTTAGTTCCCTGAATCAAATAAAACTATGTTAGGTTGGAATTTATGAAGACAGAAATATCCCAGCTAGCAGGACAGTGAAATAACTTAGGTTTTAAACACCTGTCACTCTAATATGAGACATCCGTACTGTGCGGACAGATGTACGACTATTAGTATCCAAACCTTAAGTTTATGATTTCGAAGGGGAAGTGTTAGTGCATTTCAGTACTAAACAGTGAACTGCGACCCGAGTTTCTCTCACTTTGAATTATGTCGCAAATTTCCGACACACCAATTACTAACCTCTGATATAGTAAGCTAAATTCGTTATGTCACAAATCTAGCCATACTAACTGCATTAATATTCCAGTGAGGAAAGGTCTAGAAGCTCCCTGGAAAGCATGGAGGAGTAGTGCATCAGCCAACATTGGTGACGTGACCATTATTTCTCCCAAATTCCTAATTCTTCCAGTCTACAACTTGATTATATTTTCAAAGTATTATATTAGCCTGAACTTAAGTAAAGTTTAGATAGAACTAAGTAACTTTCTCCCTGAGGCGAAATATACCCAACATGACTAGTCGAATCAATCGGAGATGAAATAGTCATGCCATAAATTTTATGTACATTAAATACAATTTTACTTTCTTGGAAACTTGCTATCCAGCATTACAAACAGTAAACAACTGTTTTTGGTGATTGAAACTGATAAAATGCTGCATAAAATAACGCCCTCTTGTTAATGGTCATAAATTATGACCATTTACTAACGCTCGTTAGTAAATGGTCATAAATTAGTGGCGTGACTAGTAACGTGTCTAAGCCCAGGGAAGGAAGAGTAGCGATTATTATCAAGAACGGGTCTTGTGAGAAAGCAAACTTAGCAGCCATGCATATCTTCGACATCCGTGGTGTTACAGCATTCTACAGCTGCGACGACCTCCAATTACTAGTGTACCCTTGTTACGGCCCTCTCGGGTCGCAACCGGGTTCTTTCTCTGATGTTGTTAGAGGTAGGGTATCCGGCCCCAAGCTAGTAGTGGCTTTCAAGGGATGTGATCCGTAACGCAAGTAAATTAAAGGGGAAGGGAGATAAAGGCAAAAACTTAATCATATAATTATTACCGTCACCATAAATAATATATAAAAGGTTACACAGGGGAGGGGTATAAAAACTATTATGTACAACATCGTCTTCCTCTGAAGACTCCGGACATTCACGGTGCTCAACGATGCTAAGCTCTTGGTCCTCTTGTGGCCTTGCGATGAATCCTTCGATTCTCTTGAGTCTACCCTGGCCACAGGCCAGCCAAATCACAGTTCCACTGGGGGCACCGTCGTGGAGGCCGTCAACCACAAATCCAGCCTGTAGCTGGCAGGTTCCAATCAGCAACGCTGGTTAGGCCACTCCACGATCGATACTAAGGGTGCGAGCCCTAGTCAGGAGCCTCGTGTGATCCCACAGGTCACTCTCCTTTCCACAACACCCCAGTGGTTAAGCGTCTCCACCAGCCAGCCCCGGGTACGACAATCCCTCAGCTGCCACGTCACAGGCAGGCTAACACCACAGTGTTCATCCGGGGGGTGACTCACAGCTGCTGCAGCAAATACTTGGAGACAAGACAGCTGCCTTGGGTAGACTGATCCAACTTCCATTACAGCAGTCCCAGGTCGACTCTGTAATCAAACACGTCATCAGTAAGAGGGACACCATAGGGCTCGTCACTTACAGGCTTAGACACAAACGCCTGACGTATCCACTCCATAGATGGCGTTGCTGTCTAAGCTCCACCTCACCAGAGGTCAGCAGCGGCTGTGTTATGAGCTGATCAGGACGGGAAACTAGCCCTTGTGGCTGGTATTTCCTGTCCTCACTTGATGGCGCCGTCCATTTGGAGGGGGTTTCGGGAGCTGACCCACAGATGGCGGGGTCGTCACTGCTCCGTGCTCGGACGCTGGGCTCGGGTCCGTAACAATCCTGTACCGGTTTGTCTATTGTCTTGTCTATACATATTAATTGGGCTTTTAATAGTAAAATTGAGAGATGACCAGTTATAACGAAAGTGATCCCAAAAATCATGGTGATCCTCTTATAAGTAAATAACTAATTCTACTGAACGTGATATATCTGTGATAGGTAATATTTGCAGTAGTTACGTAGTAAATTTTTGCCAGAACTGTGGTGATCATCAGGGACCCAGACGACATCAACTAGTCGACACATGTTGGAGAGCCGCCATAAGCCACGTGCTGCATACCTGCCTGATTAACTCTATGCCCATTTGTACTCATGTTGAAACTTTCTAGACAGAAATGGCCATTTGAGTATTTAAAATAATACTTTTAACAAAATAAATAATACTTTTAACATAATCCTTTTTTTTAATAATACTTTTAAAATCATAGTTTAGTTACTTAACCATTATTACAATTTTCCAATCACTCGAGAATTATTGATAGGTATGCTACCACTAAATAACCCCCAACATATGAGTATAGGGTAATACTCCGCTGAAGTCAAGAATCTTAATACAGTACACGTTTTTCATAAAACAGTCCACTCGATATCATCAATGACTTTTAATGACTCTACCTGCTAGGAAATTCCCCACAATGTGAGAGTGACTTATTTGCATCAGTAGAAATGTGAGAGTGACCTCCCCACCTCAGTAGTGAAGTGAGAGTGGCCTACCACCACCATCACTAATGTGAGAGTGACCTACCACCACCATCACTAATGTGAGAGTGACCTACCACCACCATCACTAATGTGAGAGTGACCTACCACCACCATCACTAATGTGAGAGTGACCTACCACCACCATCACTAATGTGAGAGTGACCTACCAGCACCAGCAGTAATGTGAGAGTGACCTACCAGCACCAGCAGTAATGTGAGAGTGACCTACCAACACCAGCAGTAATGTGACAGTGACCTACCAGCATCAGCAGTAATGTGAGAGTGACCTACCAGCATCAGCAGTAATGTGAGAGTGACCTACCAGCATCAGCAGTAATGTGAGAGTGACCTACCAACACCAGCAGTAATGTGAGAGTGACCTACCAGCACCAGCAGTAATGTGAGAGTGACCTACCAGCATCAGCAGTAATGTGAGAGTGACCTACCAGCACCAGCAGTAATGTGAGAGTGACCTACCAGCACCAGCAGTAATGTGAGAGTGACCTACCAGCATCAGCAGTAATGTGAGAGTGACCTACCAGCATCAGCAGTAATGTGAGAGTGACCTACCAGCACCAGCAGTAATGTGAGAGTGACCTACCAGCACCAGCAGTAATGTGAGAGTGACCTACCAGCATCAGCAGTAATGTGAGAGTGACCTACCAGCACCAGCAGTAATGTGAGAGTGACCTACCAGCATCAGCAGTAATGTGAGAGTGACCTACCAACACCAGCAGTAATGTGAGAGTGACCTACCAGCATCAGCAGTAATGTGAGAGTGACCTACCAGCACCAGCAGTAATGTGAGAGTGACCTACCAGCACCAGCAGTAATGTGAGAGTGACCTACCAGCATCAGCAGTAATGTGAGAGTGACCTACCAGCACCAGCAGTAATGTGAGAGTGACCTACCAGCACCAGCAGTAATGTGAGAGTGACCTACCAGCATCAGCAGTAATGTGAGAGTGACCTACCAGCATCAGCAGTAATGTGAGAGTGACCTACCAGCATCAGCAGTAATGTGAGAGTGACCTACCAGCATCAGCAGTAATGTGAGAGTGACCTACCACCACCATCACTAATGTGAGAGTGACCTACCACCACCATCACTAATGTGAGAGTGACCTACCACCACCATCACTAATGTGAGAGTGACCTACCTGCACCAGCAGTAATGTGAGAGTGACCTACCAGCACCAACAGTAATGTGAGAGTGACCTACCAACACCAGCAGTAATGTGACAGTGACCTACCAGCATCAGCAGTAATGTGAGAGTGACCTACCAGCATCAGCAGTAATGTGAGAGTGACCTACCAGCATCAGCAGTAATGTGAGAGTGACCTACCAGCACCAGCAGTAATGTGAGAGTGACCTACCAACACCAGCAGTAATGTGAGAGTGACCTACCAGCACCAGCAGTAATGTAAGAGTGACCTACCAGCATCAGCAGTAATGTGAGAGTGACCTACCAGCACCAGCAGTAATGTGAGAGTGACCTACCAGCACCAGCAGTTATGTGAGAGTGACCTACCAGCATCAGCAGTAATGTGAGAGTGACCTACCAGCATCAGCAGTAATGTGAGAGTGACCTACCAGCATCAGCAGTAATGTGAGAGTGACCTACCAGCATCAGCAGTAATGTGAGAGTGACCTACCAGCATCAGCAGTAATGTGAGAGTGACCTACCAGCACCAGCAGTAATGACTACCACCAACCTTCCGAGCCTGAGAAAGCACCAGCAGAAACTCCCAGTGTGTAAAGTTGCCATGTGAGATATCATCAGGGACCGTGAAGACGCCCACACCTCCTGGGATTCGTAACTGCTCTAGTAACTGCTAGAAAATACTCTAACAGATTAATATTATGAGAGATATATTTTGTAATATAATACATACATGTTATGTAATATATTACATAAAATTTTATGTAATATAATATGTTTTTAAATTATTTTTTATTCATTAATAATTGCATATTAGTTCCCTACAATTCTCAAAACTTAAAATACTAAATTTTCACTCAAGTTTCTTGCTTCCAGTTACCCTTCCTTACAGCGATGGTAGAAGGGTCGGAGAAAGCGGCGTCTGTGAGGATGAAAACAGAGCAGCGGAGATGGTTATGTGTTGATAAAGCAGCATCCAACACTCCAACCATTGCTCTCAGTGTAACATGTTTTTCTGTTGATGTTGGGCGTCATGTTAAACTCACAAGAAGACTTTAATTACATATTATTTGATAATATAATTTCTTGGGAACTTATTTGTGCTGTTCATAAGTGGAACACCAAGTAATAAATGACCCTTGTACCAGCAATCTTAAATTCATGGAACTGTAAAATATGGATTGATTCAAAAATTATATGAATCATGTCTCTCACAAATAGGCAATAAGAACACATGGGTTCCAGTATGGTACGACTGGACCACTTCCCTGAAATATTTACTTTAATTACAACCTGAAATTAGTACCAGAAGCATTGACCTATACGGAAAATTCCAACCACTATATCAATATTATAATCTAATAAATGTATTATGTCTATATCATATCAGAATCATATCTTTACTTCATCAGAATCACATCAGATTCATTATCTTTTATCAAAATCATTCAACTGGACCCCACATAACAATGCCACAATGGTGACATCTGCCATTGGCTCCGAATGCCAACGTGACTTTGTATAAGCAATCTCAAAGATCTAGAAGCTTCGAGAAGGAGATGTTAATTATTATACTGTTGGAACATCAATCGATTTAGGGTAATGGTTAATTCAAATCTGTTATTATAAATCCATTTAAACTAAAAGTATTATCAATAATTATTAAATCCACTATATATTTAGTTTATAATCCCACTTTAACTAAAATTAATCGTCAAGACGAGAAATAAATCATATATATATCATGACCAGTCACCCACCTACCGAGAGCATGGTGGGCTTGACAAGTGGTTCAAGCGCCCAACACCACCTTAGGAAGATCTCAGTGTTTACAAACAGTGAATGCACGTAACTGCGCTAGAGACCGTTATCATAGGACTTACATCGCACAAACTAATCTTATATCATGAGTGATTACTTTCTAAGATACTCAGAGAATTCCTGAACTATATACATACATCTAATCTAGAAAATCAATCATAATGACATATTCGGAGTAGTGAGGGCGAGTTCATGTACTAAGGGACTCGCCACGCTTACAACTACCCACCTCATCAACCAAGATATATTCGTATATCTTAGTAACTTCATCAACAGCGTATATTCGATATCTTAGCAACTTCTACATATAATCTATTCTGCGGCATAGCTGTGATGCCTTATCTCATCAAGAGAGATACCATCTGGCAACTTGTCAGATAGGCTTCAGTTCTCAATTTTGTATATAAGTTATTGATTGTTTTAGAGTATAGATTGGGCAATTTGCAATGTTTTATAACATTAATACGTCCACGTATAAATTGAGAGTCGTTAGGCTGAGGGGCAACGATCCATTAATTAGTATCAGTAAGTTCTGACTTAATCTTTCAGTAACTTAACCGTTTCATTAACTGAATCTTTGCATACCTGAATCAATTCAATCTTATATAAATTTGAATATATCATGTTCATATATATATATATATATATATATATATATATATATATATATATATATATATATATATATATATATATATATATATATATATATATATATATATATATATATATATATGACTGAAAACTCACACCCCAGAAGTGACTCGAACCCATACTCCCAGGAGCAACGCAACTGGTAACTACAGGGCGCCTTAAGCCGCTTGACCATCACGGCCGGACAAAAGGAAGTGATAGCTGAAGCTATTTGAACCACTTCCCCGCCGGCAACTCGGATGGTAATCTTGGGCATAGCATTTCACCAAATCACCTCATTCTTTGGGGCACACGTGAGGAACACAAATGCAAACAAGCCTGAATGGTCCCCAGGACTATATGCGACTGAAAACTCGTACCCCAGAAGTGACTCGAACCCATACTCCCAGGAGCAACGCAACTGGTAAATACAGGGCGCCTTAATCCGCTTGACCATCACGGCCGGACAAAAGGAAGTGATAGCCGAAGCTATTTGAACCACTTCCTCGCCGGCAACTCGGATGGTAATCTTGGGCATAGCATTTCACCAAATCACCTCATTCTTTGAGGCACACGTGAGGAACACAAATGCAAACAAGCCTGAATGGTCTCCAGGACTATATGCGACTGAAAACTCACACCCCAGAAGTGACTCGAACCCATACTCCCATGAGCAACGCAACTGGTAACTACAGGGCGCCTTAATCTGCTTGACCATCACAGACGAACAAAAGGAAGTGATAGCCGAAGCTATTTGAACCACTTCCCCGCCGGCAGCTCGGATGGTAATCTTGGGCATAGCATTTCACCAAATCACCTCATTCTTTGGGGCACACGTGAGGAACACAAATGCAAACAAGCCTGAATGGTCCCCAGGACTATATGCGACTGAAAACTCACACCCCAGAAGTGACTCGAACCCATACTCCCAGGAGCAACGAAACTGGTAACTACAGGGCGCCTTAATCCGCTTGACCATCACGGCCGGACAAAAGGAAGTGATAGCCGAAGCTATTTGAACCACTTCCCCACCGGCAACTCGGATGGTAATCTTGGGCATAGCATTTCACCAAATCACCTCATTCTTTGGGGCACACGTGAGGAACACAAATGCAAACAAGCCTGAATGGTCCCCAGGACTATATGCGACTGAAAACTCACACCCCAGAAGTGACTCGAACCCATACTCCCAGGAGCAACGCAACTCGTAACTACAGGGCGCCTTAATCCGCTTGACCATCACGGCCGGACAAAAGGAAGTGAGAGCTGAAGCTATTTGAACCACTTCCCCGCCGGCAACTCGGATGGTAATCTTGGGCATAGCATTTCACCAAATCACCTCATTCTTTGGGGCACACGTGAAGAACACAAATGCAAACAAGCCTTTTGGGTTGCCAAAAGTTGGTGCACACCTTAAGAAGTATGTTAGCCTGGGCAAGGTAAGGCACTTTGTGAGAAGGTAGAGGGCATCGTGGGAGTCCAAGTCCCCAATTCTCTCTTCCATCCTCTTTAGGTCTCTAAACTTTTCGTCAAGGACCGCAGCAATAGCATTGTGGCCCAGAGGTGCTCCGAGTAGTGTGCTGTCGGTAGGTTTAACGACTGAGGCTTCTGGTAAAACCGTCTGTGACATTCATCAATGTTTCCCATTGTTGTGTTTTTCAAGAGATCCATAACCTTTAAGCACCTTTTTGCATTATTATTTTTGTACCAACCCATGTATATCTTGTAACCATCAAATGCATAATAAAGCACAAAAAATAAAAAAGGAAGGGGGTGGTAGGAGAAAAGCACACAGAAACTGTTTTGGAGGGGATCTAAACATTCCCTCTAATGCGTTATGTGTGGTTTCCTCCGAGGCTATGGGTCCCCCTTCATCCAGCTAGAGGTGGTACTCCCTTCCATATTATATATATATATATATATATATATATATATATATATATATATATATATATATATATATATATATATATATATATATATATATATATATATATATATATATATATATATATATATATATATATAATCGTAGTGTCACGGTGCCCAGTGTTATTGTGTTATTTACTGTGGTGATTGCAAATGGTTGACCTATGTTCTAGGGGTTATTGAGACCACTGTTGGTCATTTGCAACAGTAAGTGTGTGCAGTATTCTAATACTTGGAAATTAGAGTACTTGCCGTGTGTGTTATTGCATAGGGGTTGTTATTGTTAGTGATTGTTGCTAGTGTTGAGCATCACCGTATGTGATTGCAGTTCAGTAAAGTCATTGTGGGGCAGTGTTCTAGAGGGTTCATGTCCTGTATGGTATTTTACTAGGTTCTGCAGAATTGTCATTGCAACTGGATTGTAACGTAAATCACTGTGATTTGTTAGTGTGATTTGTCATTGTCGTGGGTGAACTCGGCTGTAGACGAGTACTTGGGTACACATATATTCTCCTGGTTATCTGGTAGGACATCGAAGTCCAGTATTCAGTGAGGTGATTGCGAGGCAATTAATATAACATAACCAAGGGAACGCCCATTGCTTTAAGAAAATTGTTCTTTGACAATTTCAGTAACGTAGAATACGTTTGGGTTAATTTACTTTCCTGCCAAGCAGCTACTGTAGTCTCAAGGAGCCTAGCCATCAGCCGGATAAGAATTAGAGTATTGTCTGTCGTAATTAACGGTCAGTGGGCCGGGTAATTGACGTGTTTCAGGAAGTCAAAGTAATTAACCTCGATCCTTGTTTGATCGACTCACACGAAGGCTCCATTGTTCCATTAACGTAACGTCGTTATTTATCTGCCCGGAAGTACTGGCACTTGATTGACTCGTGGGAGGAGTAACGTCATTTTAGAATAACGTAAACGTGGGGCTAATTACTGTTATTAGCCACCTGAATTGGTCTGAGCAGACGGCTCAGACGGAATTCATACCCAAATGTAAAGTGCTGAGCCAGTGTGAATGGTTGCGCATTTAATTGTTTAATTATTGATCTTGAGGATAGTAATTAATTACTCTAAAGGTTATCACGAGTGATTACCGTTCTCTTAGCACTTTAGACATTGTAAATCAGAGTTTACCATCGCTGAGTGATTAGTAACCGATTAACGTAAATTAACGTAACTAGTAAAGAGATTAATCAGCTGTACAGGGATTAATGGGATTTTCTCACTGAATGCTCGACGGGTAGAGTGTTGTGTAATTTCCGCGTTACTAGTGACACTTGTAAGAGTTATTAAATTAACGTAAATGTTATTTTGCATTAACGTAAATGTTATTGTGTTATTAACGTAAATCAATTGGTATTGATTGTTGATCGTCCGTGGGACGGAGTGTTAACGTAAGGATTAATTTGAAGAAGGGTTGCTGGAGTTGCCAGTGAACCCATTAGTTTTTGTTGTCATTGAAAGACTACTGATTTGATTGCATTGCAACCGCCATTGCAGGTGTAGACTGCACTGAGGCGTAGACCAGTTAGGTTACTGGAGACATGCTTCAGAACCCACTGTGTCATTTGTTGTAATTGTGATTATAGATCTGTTAGTTCTTGTTTCTTGTTGATTCCTCTGTGGCCACCCTTATGTTCGAGTTAGTTCATTATGCAGTCCGAGGGGCTGGTGTCTAGCTGCCATTGATAGTGTCACAGGAAGGATTTCGAGTAACGTCATTGATATTTCTTTTGTTTTTGTTGTAGTAGTTAGTACTTTATTGAATTATCTAAGTTGTTATGTTTAACACTGTCTTTTCGTTACACCCCACACATTATTATTGTTATGCAAGTGTTCTTCACACTCGACTAATCAAATTGAGACTGATTCTGAGTTTTGGACTAAATATACAGCACCACACAACAATAAATTATTGTTGTGAATGCCCAGGACCTACTCGTTAGATTCGCTTCGGCGAATGGCGAAAGTCAGCGACCTAAGAGAGGGGATTTCAATTTTCATTGCGGTCTCGGCGTTTCCTCGCGCCTAGTCAATTGTTCATACATGGTCCCAAAGTGAGGAATGAGCTGCTTACTACACTGGTGTGTTAGCTAAGCAAGTCCTTCCTAAGGCGACCTAATTGAATATCACGACAGGAATAAAGGTTAAAGAATAAAGGAAATTCTTAGAAATTTTCCGAGCTCAATTCCTTATACCAATTTCATTTATTCCAACTTATCTATTTCCACTCAAAACTCTCACATCGGACCAAAGGTTATTGCTCAACCCTTGGAAAGTAACGAATAGCTATGCAGTTTAAACCCTAGTGTGTGTGTGTGTGTGAATAATATATACATTAAACCAATTGGAGTTATAACTCGTTATGCCGGACTTGACCTAGATCAAGATATATTAATAATTAAATTAATTGAATGTAATAGTGCAGAGGTAAGAATTTTTATTCATATAAACTTTGCAATTAATGTATACGGAAACTTCGATTTCCTATTTCTTTTCTTTATCTTTATGGTAAATATACTAAACGCAAACAGAAATCAGAGAGAATTATGTTATCATGTGGGATAATGTACTAAATACACGAAACTATCCACTTATTATTGGTCAACGTATTCAGTCACACCCATGAAACCATTTGGCACGCAAGGACCATGGAATATATATACCATGTGCAATAACATGATAATAAAAATGCACATAAATTAGAACAATAACTGTTCAGTGCATTGCATGATAATAACTAAGTAATCATTGTATTAGCGAAGTGAATGTAATCATCACAAGGATCTGGCTACAATAACTGGCACACCTGAATACGCTTTACATTTAGCAAGATCTTCCTGTAATATTCCGCAGAGGAGTTGTGTTACATCCACTTGACCACAGAACCATTCATCACAGGAATCCTCATGGCAAACGTGTTGTCTGTGTGACGATCACATTTGACATCCTGGAGCCTCAACATTACTGGAAACTACGTGCAATGTATATGGAGCATACAGTAATGTCGGTAGGAAGAAAATCATGCTAAGGAAGACTGTTTAAGGGAATGAATGCAAAACCTGAGAATGTGATTATCATATTTGCTTCTTGAAGATACTGGTGTTCTGGTATATTGTAGAACGTATAGTGAAATGACGAATTAGGTTCAATAATTATTTCCCAGTAGGCCTAATCTGATCGATTCACCTCACATGGCATCCCACATGATGGTCGCATCCTGGTCCAAATATCTATCTTGAGTTATCTTGAGATGATTTCGAGGCTTTTAGTGTCCCCGCGGCCCGGTCCTCGACCAGACCTCCACCCCCAGGAAGCAGCCCGTAACAGCTGACTAACACCCAGGTACCTATTTTACTGCTAGGTAACAGGGGCATAGGGTGAAAGAAACTCTGCCCATTGTTTCTCGCCGGCGCCTGGGATCGAACCCGGGACCACAGGATCACAAGTCCAGCGTGCTGTCCGCGCGGCCGACCGGCTCCTTGTCCCTGTAAAATGTAGTCAAAGCGTCCAATCTGACATACCCCATTCTCTCTCCTCCGACATTCCTTGCAATATATCTGCATTTAATTATTTAACATGGCATAGGCATAATGGACAATTAGATAGTAGAATTTGGTATTATTTACTGTATAGGGTTAAAAAAATAAAGCTAAAAATCCATTTTGAACTTTCCTAGGCCTAATATAGCACATATATATACCAAATAAGGCCTCTTATAACATGTATTAAGCCTAGGAAGGTTAGGTTAGGTTAGGTTAAGTTTTCATTGCAACAAAGTCTTTGCCGGTTTGTCGAAATTCAATAGTTCTGATTTCTAATTTCTAATTACATTTTTACGTCAATATATGTATGATGGTTCTCATCGTTACTATAAGTACTACTTAAACAGGAGGATGGGTTGGTTATTAACATGCCTTGCTGGATATTGGTGTATTTTTAATTAATTGTCAAATGACAGTCTCTTTGTAAATGAAAGTCTGGAAGTGATACATTTTATCTGACCATGGTTAAAAAAGGAATCGTATAGTTGCATCTTCAGATGCCAGTAAGTAATAGTACTACTTACTTAATTATATATGTTATTAAGCTCAACTCTATGTTGCTCTGAAATACATGAAAATTGCTCCATCTGTTCCAAACTCTGTGATAAAAATGTTCTTATGCTGGATAAAACTAATCATATAAAATTCTTAAGCTACGTACTTACCATAGAGTAGAGGGAATTGCAAGAGGACTGCACAGCTAACGGCAGTGAGCATTAGTAGCAGAAGGGATACCACAGTCATTTCTGCCAGGGTTGCGTATTTTATTGAACAACTGTAATAATTAGAAAACCAATTAAAATATGTTTCTCTATTCACCTGTTAACAAAACACCTAAGACAGTTTACATTATATAGTCACAAAAAGTTACAGAAACAAGAGGCAAATAATCTCGCGCAGACAGGCATTTGTACATACACATAAGCACACAATATTACACAAATTTAAAATAATTTTATTGCCATGCGACCTAAATTATACAACAAATGGAAAGGGTGACATTTAACAAATTTGTATTGTCAGAAAGCACTTGACACTGTCTTATCAGAAGGTAGTGCGCATGTTAAAGAAGTGATACGAATGTTCCTCTATTAGGTAGTGAAACACTGTGTGAAGTGAAACACTGTATAAAGTGAAACACTGTGTAGAGTGAAACACTGTTTGAAGTGAAACATTGTGATTGTGTGAAACCACACAATCTCAGACCACACACTGTGTGGAGTGAAACACTGTGTGGAGTGAGATCTCTAATTGCCCAGATGTCCCCAACAAAGTCCCACAGAAGTCAGTGATTGGACCTATTTTGTTTCTGATATAGGTAAATGATCGTGTAAAGGAAACAGATTTATTCCTCTTAATGTTTGCAGATTAATTAGGACGGATTAAGATATAAATGATTATGAAGATAATTAGAACGAACTAAGATATCAAAAAGCTATAAGAAGACCTGGAAAAACTAAAAGAACAGTCCAACAAATGGCAGCTACAGTTGAACGTAAGTGTAATGTCATAATGAGACTAGTTGTTGGGAAAGGAGGCTAGCCACAATATAAAAATGGGAGATTAAATTACACTGTTACGGACCCGAGCCCAGCGTCCGAGCACGGAGCAGTGACGACCGCGCCATCTGTGGGTCAGCTCCCGAAACCCCCTCCAAATGGACGACGCCACCTAGTGAGGACGAGATATACTGGCCACAAGGACTAGTTTCCCGTCCTGATCAGCTCATAACACAGCCGCTGCTGACCTCTGGTGAGGTGGAGCTTAGACAGCAACGCCATCTATGGAGTGGATACGTCGGGCGTTTGTGTCTAAGCCTGTAAGTGAGGTGCCCTAGAGTGTCCCTATTACTTATGACGTGTCTGATTACCGAGTCGACCTGGGACTGCTGTAATGGAAGTTGGATCAGTCTACCCAAGGCAGCCGTCTTGTCTCCAAGTATTTGCTGCAGCAGCTGTGAGTCACCCCCCGGATGAACACTGTGGTGTTAGCCTGCCTGTAACGTGGCAGTTGAGGGATTGTCGTACCCGGGACTGACTGGTGGAGACGCTTAACCACTGGGGTGTTGTGGCGAGGAGAGTGGTCTGTGGGATCACACGAGGCTCCTGACTAGGGCTCGCTACCCTAGTATCGGCCGTGGAATGGCCTAACCAGCGTTGCTGATTGGAACCTGGCAGCTACCGGCTGGACTTGTGGTTGATGGCCTCCACGACGGTGCCTCCAGTGGAACTGTGATTTGGCTGGCATGTGGCCAGGGTAGACTCAAGAGAATCAAAGGATTCGTCGTGAGGCCACAAGAGGACCAAGAGCTTAGCATCGTTGAGCACCGTGAACGTCCAGAGTCTTCAGAGGAAGACTACGTTGTATATTATAGTGTTTATTCCTCCCCCTTGTGATAATCTTTATATTATTTATGGTGACGGTGATAATTATATTATTAAGTTTTTGCCTTTGTCTCCCTTCCCCTTTTATTTTACTTGCATTACGGATCACATCCCTTGAAAGCCACTACTAGCTTGGGGCCGGATACCCTACCTCTAATAACATCAGAGAAAGAACCCGGTTGCGACCCGAGAGGGCCGTAACATACACCAAGAATTGGGTGAACAGAGAAACCTAGAGGTTGATGTTACATCGAACCTGTATACTGAATCTAACATCAAAATGATATCATGAGTGGCATATATTAGGTTTCCTAATATAGATCTCTGTCAAGAAATCGCTCGATCCCGATGCACTCAACCTAAATCTCCCTCACGGCCCATTTTGTTCGCTTTCATTACAAACCTATTCCCTAAAACTTATTCCCCTACTTCCTATTCCCAAACCCTATTCTCCTTTACCAAATTTTCGAAAGACTCTTATCTCCCTTTACCATATAATACCCATACTAATAGTTCAACCACGGTAGTGCGACAAAGGTTAAGGGAGCCTGAAGTAAGATGGGAAAGAAGTTATATTGAAAGAAAGAACTCCCCAGACACCAAACATAACGCCTTGAAGGAAACCAACGTCGTCTATGCCTTTAATTAAATGCCCACTTCGGGACTGTAAGCCCCAAAAAACTCAGAATATAGGCAAGACAACAACGTCTCTATCTAGGCGATTAACAATGCATAAACAACGGGGCTCCAATAAAGAACATATCATCTCTTCTCACAATCAGACCATCGCCAGAGAAATCAAAACAAACAACACAGAAATCATCGATAGGTACAGCAATAGAAAGCGGTCCACATCAGCGAGGCAATACACATCAAAAAGTCAACA